CAGTTTAAAACTTTTCCTAAAGCTAAAGTTTGAAACGATTCGCGGTTTATTATAAAATTACTTTTTTTTGCAAAAAGGAATCGTTAAACTATATCGAAAACAAAGAGGACGCGTGCTCAAAATTTCGTTCTCTTGTCAAAGCAAAATGAGATTGTTCCGCGAATGCTTTCGAAATGTAATTATCCGTTCAACAGGGTTTATGGTAATTATCCGCTGTGGTCTATTGTGTCGTTGTTAACATGTCGTTTGTTAGCAATAAAAACTTGCGTTTTTTTTGAAATTACAAACAAAACTTTAATTGAAACATGAAGAGTTCGTCAGCTCAATACTTACCAATTAAACCCCACCTTTAGTATCATACAATTTCAATAACACTCAATTAAATATTAACTAAAAATTTAAATTTAGCTGTTAGAAAACATTTGGTTGTACAACGTTTCCTAACCACATTTCTTTTTTGTGTGCGATTCGAACGGTTACGATAGAGCATTTAAAAACACTTTTAATTACAAAAAGTCATCGTGGTCTCGGTGTGTTCGTCGAACGTTAAAATCTTCCAATATCGCAAAAAACACGTACAACGCCGTCACTCCAGTCGCGTATCTATCAATGTCCTGCCCATAGCGTAACACGAGCATAGCTCACCCTAATCCAGGTGAATCCAAGTCATTCGATTGTGATTTGTATCGCAGACGGACTCACTGTTAGATATTACCCACAACGTTATATGTATTTGTATCTGCAGATATACGTTGTCATCGGATTTAACATTCACTATTATTCTTATTTATTTTTACTTTCTCGCATAAGAGAGTATACAGGCTCCATTTAACGTGAGACAAGCGATTATCTTGAAAACGGTTCATTTTACATAAAAATATGAACCAAATGAAAGTTGTTCTTTGCGAATGGGGAAACCATATGACGATAACATTTTTTGACCTTGCCCTTATTTTCAAGGTTATTTAACAATTAACTAACGTTTATAATCTAGCAAGAACAAATAAGATTTATGAATTTTTAAACATTTTCCTACCCGCTTCGATACATTGTCTTTAGTTCTTAATTCTTAGAATACTAGTTAAGAATGCTCAACAAAAAAATCCAGAAGAGGTACATCGGGTGAGCTGGCTCGTCGGAAATACCTTTGGAAAGAGATCTAAAAGGTTCCGACATTTCTCCGCCTTTGTCAATTTGATAATAGAATAACGCATAAAAAACAAGAGTTCGTGGAACTGCTTATGTCGGCATTTTCAGAATATCGCTTTCAGAGACTTAATTGGTTGAATTGTTTTAAAATGTAACAGGTAAAACTAAATTTGCATAAAAACTGCTTGGCAACAAATTCTGAATTCATTCCATCGTTTTACATTAAGGCAAAGTGTTTAAACTAAGTCATTAAATCATGGATACTCTAAGTGTGGCAGAAAAAGTCGAAATGATTTTTATTTATGGAGAAAGTGGCAGAAAAGTTGCTGATAGTATAGCTTTGTATCGAGAACGTTTTCCTGATCGAAATACGCCTTCGAGAAGTACCTTTTACAGAGTTGTGAATGATTTCACTAACACTGGAAATGTGGAATCAAGAAAAAGAACTCGGCGAGCAACTGTAACTACGGAAGAAAAGGAATTTGCGGTATTAGCTAGCGTTGAGGTAAATCCTCAAGTTAGCACTCGACGACTTGCAATTGACGCCGGAATATCGAAGACCAGCATTTTAAGAATATTAAAGCGCAACAAGTATCACCCATACCACATTTCATTGCATCAACAGCTTTATGGAGGTGATTTTGAAAATCGATTAATATTTTGTCAATGGGCACAAGAACGAATGCGGTTGGACGTCAATTTCTTTGGTAACGTGCTATTCTCGGATGAGTCTACTTTTACAAACAAAGGACAAGTCAATAGTCATAACATGCACTATTCGAGCGTTGAAAATCCGAGATGATTGCGTGAAGTAGAACATCAACGACCTTGGTCGGTTAATGTTTGGTGTGGCATAATTGGTGATAAATTGTTCGGTCCATACTTTGTTGATGTTGAATGGGGAGAAGTACCGAAATTTTTTAGATGACGTCTTACCAACGTTACTTGTAGATTTGAGCAGGGAAGAAAGACAAAATATGTGGCTGCAAAATGATGGATGTCCAGCACATTTTCCACATATTTTAAGAATTTTAAAGTGAAGCTTTAGATCGGGATTATGCTGGGCGATGGATTGGAAGGGGGGGTTCAATTTCCTGGCCTGCCAGATCACCTGATTTAACACCTCTTGATTTTTTTTTGTGGGGCGTCCTTAAAGATAATGTTTATCGCGAAGTACCGACTACGCCAGAAAACATGAAAGAGCGGATAAGAAATGCATGCAAAAATAGTAGCCAAGAAAACCTTTTAAGATGTAAAGAAAGTTTTAGTAGAAGGGTTGATAAATGTATTCATATCCTGGGCATCAGTTGAAAGATATATTGGCCCGCGGATACCATAGGAAAATATTGCTTCGTAGATATTCATGTGGTATTCAGGATAGAATGGCATATCACAATGCCGTCACTTCTACTTAAAATGCTATCCCAGATATGGGGATAGGAGCCGTGAGGTTATAATAAACGTGTTGCTTTCAGCAGCCTAGTAGTAATTCTAATGTCTCATATCCTACATCATCAGATGGAAAAAACCTGAAATACAAAGATTATACTGACTTTCACCGAAAATTGGAGATAAACTGTATTTCTTATTACCGATAAATAACAAGCAGAGATGCGAGAGCAATAGATAAATAGTACCAAAGATTCATCATACTTCTTGGCTCTATTCTGACATATTATACCTAAAGGCTCGTACAGACACGTTTACTAATTTAGTCGAATAGCAATTGAATTACCACCGAAATTATTTTTTATTTTTCCTTTTTTTGATAAAACCTTAAAATTTACGTTCAATTTAAAAACATTGAGTAAATTTTGGAATTAACATTTGAAAGGGACGTAATTTTCGAATTTTAACTTTTAAAGGTTTAGGAACGTTGGGCTATTATTTAGATTCAAAAAGGCATTAAAATTCCGAACGACTTGTGGAATTATTCAAATCAACCCTTCTTCGTTAATAATCTCTGGGTCTTTTCAATCCTCTTTCATTCAACGTCACGTTTTCTCTTTGTTTTCACGATCAATATTTTAAAAATTAGATACGTTCAAGCATTTTAAATTTACAAGACAACGACAATATGTTATTGTATAAAATACCTTATTTTTTGGATAAAGTAGCATTTATCGCTAATCGAATAATATATTCTAGCTAAAAACTATGATTAAAGAATACAAGAGAATTGGTTTTGTACATTAGTAGAATTACATATGCTCCTTGAGACATTATTTAACACATGGCATGTTGAGACTGAAAGGATTACAGAGTACGGATTCAATATGCAACTTGGTTTATATTATATAGGTAGGTCGGTTATGAAATAGTAAATTATGAAAACAATAGGCACATAAATTAATTTTTTAATCTCAAATTGTATAATGTGTTCTAAAAGTGTATACATTGTATCATAGTGTATGTTATAAAGTATTATAAAGTTTATAAATATTTGTATTAGTATTATTTAGATAAATTACATGCCAAAGAAAGTTCTTTTTTTGCGAAAAGGGTTACAGTAGACAAAATTAATTTAGTTTATAAGTTTAAATAATTTAAACAACTGATCGATTGATAAACAAACTGAAGCTGCGCCATTTAAGTATCACATCGTCCTTAGCTTTGCCATCTATACAGTATGTAGATGTACTTCAATTAGACTTAAAGAAGAAGTTGTTACCGAAGCTGTTACAGCGTTAATAATAACTGAAAACAGCTGTTTAATAGCTAGAAACTGAAAGTTGCACAAATACTTCCTATTAGGTCCGTTACTACCATCTTTTAGTTAAATTTATCTTATAGATAAACACATCTACTAGCCAATCAGGGCGCGTAAAATAGCCGTAACCATGGTAATAATCCTTTAGATAGCTTAACCAGAAGATGGTAGTAACGAGCCTTAGTAAAAAAAAGGTTGATTGATCTTTGAGGTGCTTGTTAAACATACGCTTCTTGTTTTACTCCGTGGTATCTATCCGAGATATACAGGATGTTCAGAAATTAGCGGATAGGCACGTAGCGACATTCCTCGTTCTATTTTAAAGCGAAAATCTTAATTGCAAAATGTTGTACCATGCTTCATACGTCTTCATGAGGTTCTCAAAGTTCGGATAATTTGTCTATAAATAATCATTAATATTCAATATCTGTTGATAAACGTAGAATATTATATATGATATATTATATTATAAATTACAGCTTAATTTAAAATAAAAAAAATTTTTAAAAATAGTTTTTTTCCGCTAATTATAGTTTTTCCGCTTAGTTGTGGTTATTCTAGAGCCTCAGTTTCGATTAAGCGTAAAGCTTAACACAGTTAGATAGTTTGGATTTTTTAAATTTATCCCATATAAGCGGGTATTCCGATTAACCAGTGTCCCGATTAAGCGGAAACGACTGTACTTTAATATTTTTTTACATAAGTAGTTTCACTCTAACAATAAGTAGAAAGGCGAAGATTTTTCGCAATTAATATTTCTAAAATTGATAAAAATGTTATGAGACAAGGATGTTCAAACGAAAAGATACAGTAGAAGGTCATGAGGTCATAAGGTCATTACCTAAATCTATATAGATAAGACATATTATAGCAGAGACTTTAGAGAAATGTCACTTTATCACCTTTATGACACGCATGAAAACATTTCGTACAATGTTTATAATTATTTATAATATATACAATCAAAAAACACTTGGAAAAAATACGTTTAATTTATATGACTATTGTCTAAAGTTTACTTTTTCATAAAAATCAACCTATATAAGAAAAAATTGCAAGAGGTCGGCTTATTACTTTCTAAAATCTTAAAGATGTCTTTTACCATTTTAGTTACTGTTGTGTCCACTTTAATCTGGATCGGTTCAGTCCAATCCTACCAAATATGTAATGATCCATCACCAAGTAAATACTTTAACGAATTTGAATGTGCTACAACAACATGGTTTGTTTACGGGGGAAGTACAGAATGCGATGGTTGTTGTATCACACGCAACATGACAATTTTGGAACCTGGAAGAATTCTTGTACAAGATACTACAACCATAAATGGGTATTGTATTTAATTTAATTTGTTAATTTTAATTTTTAATACTTAATTTTCAGAATAACTACTCCTAAAATATACGAAATTAAGCGATATGGAACGCAACCTATTTTTTTCTCTGATAATGGTAACATTTATTTAACTTTTTTAACTAATAATTTATTTGTCTTTTAATTTATTTCACTGTTCATTTAATATCTTTTTCAGACCCAAATCCTTTTGTATTGATTGATACAGATTGTAAGAAATACTGCGTAATTTACGATTACAAGAATGGTGATGTACAGACGTTCACTGATAAAGCACAACAAAAGCCTAATTTTCAAAGTGGTTTGTATGGTGTACAAAAATGTGGTATTGAAATGTTCGATTATAATCCTAAAGAAGCTTGTAAAGGTGTAGAAACTTATCAGTAAAATGTGTGTATATTGATTTATATACGTTATATACTGTATATGTACTTAAAAAGCGATTGTAAAGGAACTTGATTTAATGAATAATATGTAATAATGTAGTACAACAATTTATATAGTCGTATAATATATAACAATATATGGTGGTTTCTTTTCCATTTTCCTTTTATTTTGCTTTTGGCATAAAAATCTGTTATAAAAATATACTGGAACTTTCTCAAAAATCAACTAATACCAGTTTCTGGTTTAATAATTTGATCTTCATCATCAATGAATATATAATCGATAAATAATAATATATTTATCGAGTTTGGAGTATATCATCAGTGATTAATTCAATAGCATCATCAATATCTTCATATTGATTATTGTTGAGTTGATGTTTTCCGGTTTTGATAAAGTGATACAAAATTTTTTTTCTTAGTTAAGCAACGATAATTTAAAAAAAAATTATCTTATAGGATCAAACACGTTTTTGTAACGTCTAAAATTATCTCCATGTATTTATAGACTGTATATATTTATACAACGTTCATGAACTTTTTAAAATATAAAGATACCAAAATTAATGCAATAACCAAGATCTTGCAATATATCTAAAGTTTTATATAAGCATATCTAACTCATATATAATTTACATATTAAGTACTTAATTAAAGGAAATTAAACAATTTTTAATTGAAAAACAACAATTTTTTTTATTTAGTTTCGTAGGATTTGAAGATTACACTATAATATTAACAATTTAATTCGGGATTGTATTCATATAGAGGCATAGAACACCTTTTCACTCCTTTTAATTTCGATAAAAACGTAGGAGTTTGTTCTGGTTCGGCTGTAAAAACTTGAAGGATGTCTACAAGCAAATAAGTGTACATAAAAAAGTAGTAATTTCGATTCTGATTTAAATCAAGATTAAAATTATCATCTTTCAACCAAACTTACTTGTTATTTCACTATAAACAACTCCATAAGTCTCACAATCGGTATCAACGATTTTTAATGGAAGTGAATCTAAAAAACTTAATTATAACTGCTATCTATAAATATAAAATTTTCTTTCTCACATCCAGCTACAAAATAAGTAGCATAATCATTAAATCTTTGAGCTGTGAACGTCACCGATGAAGTTTGGCTAAAATAAGTTTGTTACAAAAGAAAATTATTAGAAGATTTATTTTTATTTACCCATTCACTGTCGTCGTGTCAGTTACTTGTAATATTCCGGGCTCTAATACAACCATATTACGTCTAATACAACAACCATCACAAGGAACACTACCGGCGTAAACGTACCATGATACATTCACACACTTTACCATATTAATTAACACATATTACATTTTAATTTATTAAAAAATTAAAGTCTTTACCTTGGCTTCATTATTATCAATTTTTATAGATTTAGATTTGCGGCAAACATCTTGGGATATAGAAAATTGTAAAGAATTTGCAAGTAGAAGGAAACATATCCAAGGGATGTTTTTGGACCACATATTCAAATGTACGTTGGCAAAGAAGTGAAATACACTTAAAATTTTATCTGTATTTATATCTAACTAAAATATGCTTTGATTATACATGCACACGAACATACAATACATTAGTGTGTTAATTATTCACAATATTTTAGTAAGATTTATAACATGTCATATTTTTTCTTAACTTATTATTTAATTTTAAAATTATATAATTTTATATCAAATATTAGATACACATTGTATTTTATTTATTTTAATTAATTTTTATTGAAAAACATCAACACCTTTACAAGTTTTTCCAGGATTTCACAAACTTTAGGTTTCCGTCTAAATGTTTTTGAAAATGACGTTTTTGTTGCAGTTTATTAGTAAACGTGTATATATCTCCAGTTTTAAAATCGTAAATTACACAAAATTTTTACAATCGGTACTGACTATTACTTTGGGATAATCGCCTAAAAAGTAATTATAAATAAAAGTATAAAAAAAGTAATAATTCATTGTGGAGTACAACAAATTAAAAATTCATGTATTTATATTGAATACAGATTTGCTTGTCTTATTAACACTCACGAATTAACGATAAACCGCCTGTTTTGATGTATATGATACATAAAACGAATGTGTAAGTCGTTAATTATTGTTGATAACGTCTCTTGCTTTTGTTTATAAGTTAGTTATGCATGTGTCTACAATATTAAGAAAACAAAATATGTTTATGATTATTTGAAAATTATACAAAATAATTTTCTATATAACAAAAAACTACAAGACCTTACTTACTTATTACTTTCTAAAATCTTAAAGATGTCTTTTACCATTTTAGTTACTGTTGTGTTTACTCTAACCTGGATCGGTTCAGTCCAATCCTACCAAGCATGTAATGATCCATCACCAAGTAAATACTTTAACGAATTTGAATGTGCTACCACAACATGGTTTGTTTACGGGGGAAGTACAGATTGCGATGGTTGTTGTATTACACGCAACATGACAATTTTGGAACCTGGAAAAATCCTTGTACAAGATACTACAACCATAAATGGGTATTGTATTTAATTTAATAGGTTAATTTCAATTCTTAATAATTAATTTTCAGAATAACTACTTCTAAAATATACAAAATAAAGCGATATGGAAGAGAACCTATTTACTTCGTGGAAAATGGTAACATTTATTTAACTTTTTTGTCTTAACTAATAATTTGTCTTTTAATCTTTTTTTTTCAGACCCAAATCCTATAGTATTGGTTGATACAGATTGTAAGAAATACTGCGTAATTTACGATTACAAGAATGATGATGTAAAGACGTTCACTGATAAAGCACAACAAAAGCCTAATTTTCAAAGTGGTTTGTATGGTGTACACAAATGTGGCAGTGAAATGTTCGATTATAATCCTAAAAAAGCTTGTAAAGGTGTAGAAACTTATCAGTAATGTTTCTGTGTATTAATTAATACACATTATTCATATACTTATTTTGTGTACTTAAAAAGCAAATGTAAAAGGTAATTGATTTAATAAATAATTTGTAATAGTAGTATGATATATAACAATATATTGTGGTTTCTTTTCCATTTTCCTTTTATTTTTTTTTGCATATAAATCTGTTATAAAAATATAATTGAACTTCTTCAAAAATCAATTAATACCAGTTTCTGATTTAATAATTTGGTCTTCATCATCAATAAATTCATGGTTAGTGTTTGACATCTATTTATCAAGTTTCGAGTCTATCTCATCGTCATCACTGATTAAATCAACAGCATCATCGGTTTTGATAAAGTGATATAAAACCTTGAAATTGAGGAAATTGCCATTTTTCTAGAAGAGGAATCCAAACAGTTTTGAGATGCTTTATTTGTGATGAAATTGAGTTACTTGCTCGACATATTCGAGAAATTAAATACCCTGAAGGTACAACTCCAAGGAGCAAACACACATATGTTGAATAGCAGTGATAAAGTTAGCTTTTTGTAAATAGTTGCAGCTGTGGAGTAGAAATGTGAAACAAAAAAAAACTAGAAATGTTTGCAAATGTGAATGAGTATATCAAAACATATAAGGAAGAAGAACAGTACGTGAAAATTGTTATTTGTAACTATGGAAAGTCATTTAGCCATGTTGGCACAGAATTTTAAAAAGTATTTTCTTGCTGACGACGAATTGGTAGCAAGTTATGAGTGGGTTAGGGATTCATTTTGAACTACTCCCGAAGGTCTCAACTGCAGAAGAAGAAATCTTCATAGACTTTACTGCAAGCGGCAAAATCAAGAGAGAATTTAGTAATAAATCTCTCTTTGAATTTTGGGCGGGAGTGGATGATGCCTTTTTTCCACTGAAAACAAGAGCATTTCCTCTATTATTGCCATTTTCAACATCCTACCTTTGCTAAGATGGATTTTGTCCGTTTTCTGCTTTAAAAACAAAATATAGTTCTCGGCTGAATATAGAGAAAAAACTGAGAGTGGCTATTTGTAGTATAAAACCGTCACTAATAATTATTAAAGCTACTTTTAATTTAGTACTGATGAATTTATTATTAGTTTCATTTGGCAATTGTCAGTATCGACTGATACAATCATATTTATAATAATTAAATAGTATATTAGTTTAAACGTGTACTGTACTTACTTAATTTTTTGTAATGTCAGAATGAATATTATTTTGCTTTTCTTTCTGTGAATTAAATTTTTTTTATTAATAATTATCGTTCTTTTTCCTTTTGGGGGCGCCCCTCCACATGTTCAGAAACGCTGTGTTAAAAGGATCAAATACGTTTTTGTAACGTCTAACATCATATCCATGTATTTATATGTAAATTTTTTTTATTATAATGTTATAATAGGTATTTAAATTACAACTTATATTACTTACAACTTTAAAATTATATAATTTTATATTAAATATTAGACACATAGAGTATTTTATTTAATTTTTATTGAAAAACATCAACACCTTTGCAAGTTTTTCCAGGATTATAATCGTATACTTCAATACCACACTTTTGAATTCCGTCTAAATTTTTTTGAAAATTACGTTTTTGGTGCACTTTATTAGTGAACGTGTGTATATCTCCAGTTTTAAAATCGTAAATTACACAAAACGTTTTACAATCGGTACTGACTATTACTTTGGGATAATCATCTGAAAAGTAATTATCAAAATAAATATCAATAACGTAACAATTAATATAACGAACCATTTTCCTTGTAATAAATAGGATCCGCTCCAAAGCTTGTAGCTTTATATGTTTCAGAAGTTGTGACTCTAAATATTAATTAATATAATTAGTTCACAAATTTAATCATGTTGACGATCAAATGTAGTAATAATACAGGAAACTAACCCATTTTTGATTGTAGTGTCGGTAACAATAATTTTTCCTGGTTCTATAACCGTCATGTTGCGTGTAATACAGCAATCCGTACAATCGTTACTTCCGCCATACACAAACCATTTCGTGGTAACACATTCAACTTCACTGTAGTATGGACTTGGTGTAGGATTATTACATATTTTGTAAGGGTGCACTAATGCAATCCCGTTTAATGCGAATAAAATGGTAAGTAAACTGATATAAGACATCTTCAAGATGAGTGCTATTTCGTGTAAAACAATAAAATGATTAATGAAAACCGATACTTAAACTGTTTACATACTTGTTTTTTATGGACTTTGTGGAGTTCAACTAATTAAAAATACATGTATTTATATTGAATACAGATTTGCCTGTTTTATTAACACTCACGAATTAACGATAAACCGTCTGTTTTGATGCATATGATACATAAAATTAATGCGTAAGTCGTTAATTATTGTTGATAACGTCTCTTGTTTTTGTATGTGTGTTAGTTATGCATGTGTCGACAATATTAAGAAAACAAAATATGTTTATGATTATTTGAAAATTATGCAAAATAATTTTCTATATAAGAAAAAACTGCAACAGTCGGCTTATTACTTTCTAAAATCTTAAAAATGTCTTTTACCATTTTAGTTACTGTTGTGTCTACTTTAATCTGGATCGGTTCAGTCCAATCCTACCAAGTATGTAATGATCCATCACCAAGTAACTTTAACGAATTTGAATGTGCTACCACAACTTGGTTTTTTTACGGTGGAAGTACTGAATGCGATGGTTGTTGTATTATACGCAACATGACACTTTTAGAACCTGGAACAATTCTTGTAACAGATACTACAACCATAAATGGGTATTATATTTAATTTAATGCGTTAATTTCAATCCCTAATCATTAATTTTATAATTAATTTTCAGAATATCTACCCCCAAAAATTACGAAGTTAAGCGATATGGAACGGAACCTATTTATTTCGTGGATAATGGTAACATTTAACTTTCTTAACTAATAATTTGTCTTTTAATTTATTTCACTATTCATTTAATTTTTTAGACCCACAACCCTTAGTAATAGTTGATACAGATTGTAAGAAATACTGCGTAATTTACGATTACAAGAATGGTGAATTAATGACGCTCACTGGTAAAGCACAACAAAAGCGTAATTTTCAAAGTGGTTTGCATGGTGTCCAAAAATGTGGTATTGAAATGTTCGATTATAATCCTAAAGAAGCTTGTAAAGGTGTAAAAACTAATTACTAATGTTTCTGTGTATTAATCAATATACATTATTCATATACTTATGTTGTGTACTTAAAAGCGAATGTAGCATAATATATAACAATATATGGTGGTATATATGGTTTATTATTATTGATAACGTCTCTTATTTTTGTTTATGTGTTAGTTATGCATGTGTCGGCAATATTAAGAAAACAAAATATGTTTGTGATTATTTGAAAATTATGCAAAATAATTTAATGCGGGATTGTATTCATTTAAATTGGTTCCACACATTTTCACTCATTCCAGTTTACCCATAAAACGTCGGTGAAAAGTACACGTCAAGGAAAAACGCAAGCAACTAAACCTCAAATCGCTGTAAAAAGGTCACTACACAATAAATCAACACTGTCAATACAACAGATCATAGATCACCATACATAGATCAATAATCAATACACTCTCCTGAATGTGCTAACATTTCTTTCTACAGAACAAATAAAAGATAAATGTTTAAAATAAAGTTGTTCAACTAAATCAGTGAGCATCAATACTCTGTTTGTAGGTTGGAAATACAGCAGAAAACAATCACTATGTGTATTACATCTAACAACTGATTACTGGAATCAGTCATCAGGTTCTTGTCACTAAGGAAACTAGATCTAACCTCTGGAGACTGGAACTCATCCACTCCATATTGGAATCAACAACTTACACCGAGTTTCTTTATTTTTGGAGAAATCTCCTCCTCGAACACGACCAATTGTTACTCGTCCAGTATGTGCAACATCCTTATAGGAGCCTTTAGGGCAACAGGCTGCCCTGTATTCTATTCTATATCTTTACATACTCATTTAATAGTTGAAGGTGTTAACCCTGACTAACACCTTACTTGTGGTTTTCTTTGAAAATTTGAATTTGAAGTCTTTAAAAACACTTAGATTTAACGATAAATTATAAATAACAATCTGAACCTTACACCACCGGGGAGTTTTTCCATTCTCTTCTATGTTATGAGTGGAGGTGTGATTTTTAAATTATTTAAATGTAAAGAACGAACTAGTCTTAAATCATGTTAAGTACCAAATACGTTTATTTCCATTATAATGACATTATATATCATTTTACAGAGGCCACTAAAATTAATTTTTTTGGTTTTCTTCTATGATACTGTTCCTAAACAATTTACCGCAGGATTATATTCATATAAAATAGCATCACATCGTTTTATTCCTTTAGTTTTTCTTAAAAAGTGTGATTCTTGTACTGGTTCATAAGTAAACACTTGAAGTTGATCTAAATGAAAAAGTGATTAATATAAGTACTTTATTTTTTAACATAAAAACTTACTCGTTGGTTCACTATAAACAACTCCATAAGTTTGACAATCAGTATCTAATATTATTATTGGGAGTGGATCTAAAAACATTATAAAAGCAGTTTTAAACAATTTTATAGAAATAAGTTTTAAAAAATTACTTCCTGGTAAATAATAAGTTGCGTCAGTATTATTTCTTTGTGCAGTAAATGTTACAGACGTTGTTTCACTAAAATAAATTCATTGTTAATAATATGAATTTGGAAGCAATAACAGAATTTTTACAAAAGTACCCAATGATTGCGATGCACGACATAATTTTAGTCTTTTGTCAATTAGAATGTTTTAGTAAGCAGAAAAATGTCTTCAACTCACAAAAGAACTCTCAAAAGTAGGACTCATAACTAATAAATCCAAAACAGTCTAAATTATAAGCTACCAAAACCTTTTGCCCAAACAAGATAAGTTAATAATCGATGGCAAGTTTTGTCCTTTTTTAACAAGAAATGTTTCCTAATCATCTAGACAGTACAATCTCTTCTTTCAGACTGAGAAAGTCTTCGATAGAATCAAAAATATTAAAAATTTGATATTAAGAAAGATGTAAAACTCATTCATTTTACGGGAAAGAACGTTTTGGCTTTTAGCCAAACATTTTCAAAATGAAAGGTTTTTGTTCTAAGAACCATAAATATTGAGGATATCTTTGTTTGATACTTTTCAAATACAAAATTCACACAGTTGCTCAAAACACCCGAATCAATGGATCTTTTAATTTGCCAATTTTCTCAAATTCTAAAGAATCACTTATTTTTTTATCATTTTGTGCTTTAAATAGAAAATATATAGAAAATGGTTCCATGAATTTTGACAAAATTGATAACAAAATGGAGCAGATACAAACCAACTTATTTTTTAAATATTTACCCATTTACTGTTGTTGTATCTGTTACTAGGATTTTACCAGGTTCCAATAACACCATTCTACGAGTTATACAACATCCTTCACACTGACTACTTCCAGCGTAAATATACCATACTTTCTCTGCACACTTCATAAAATAATTAAAACATATATTTTATATAATAAATTTATTTATAGAGTTACCGGCACTTCGTCGAAACGTTTAATAGTTTTAGGGTGAGGGCATAATTCTTGACCAATTGAAAAATTTAAATAAACTGTAATGAAGAAAGAAATTATTAGATGTTCTTTAATTAACATTTTGAAAGAATCTGATGAAATTTTTGATCCCACCCATTCTTTTTACATTTATATTTACAACAATGTAAATTTACTTAGTTAATTGCTTTTTTTAATATATTTTTGTGCTGCACGAGGTTTATTTTTGGATGCATTTACGTAATTTGCATTATGTGTAAACATTTATATTTTGGTTAGATAACATAATAAATTAAAACGAATCATAAAATTTTAGCCTTTGTATTATAAACATAACGTGTATTATTGACTTACTTGCGCATTTTTTAGAATTTAATTTTTTTGGTAGAAATTGCCCGAGTATTAACTACCTTGTAATTTTTTAATTAAGGAAAGAACTTTTCGTGCTGTCGGCCATATATTTCTGCAGCGGGCGGAAAGATAATGGCGTAGGGAATTTATTCAGCTCTTCTGGCCTGGTCCCGAGTCTTTATGCATATGCAAATGGCGTCGCAATCCAGGAGCTTTCCTCTAATGGATGGTTAATAATTAAAATTTAGCGTCTGGAGAACCGTCCCGAGCGGAAAGTTCTGTTCGGCCGCAAAGCTTTTCACAGAGGAGGAGAGAGAGACCACATAGTCCCCATTTTCCCAGAATTTCGTTGTATTCCTTTTTTCGGACCGCAGAGGACCCTTCCAAATCCCTACTCGCTAAAACTTTTCAGGAGTCCGCCCACCGCGAACCAACGGAGACTAATAATAGCATTAACTTTATAAATTGTAGATATTCTCTACTTCGTAGGCGGATTTGTGCGGCTCCGTTTGAATAATCAGCTTCAGGACCCTTCTCATTAATTTACGTTTGTTCTCGACGAAAATTCCTCTATTTCTACTCATTTTGATTGAAAATGACGCGACATTTTAAAGTTGAATCCTTTTTTTAAATTTTTTTCCAACAGATTAACTCCATTAATTTGGAATTATTTTTATACAATTGTTTCATCTAATCCCAAATCCTATTGTATCGCAACCTATAAATTTTTTGTTAAAAAAATCACCTTTACGTCCAACCATTTTCCCTTTCAGTGAGCAACACAATGGCCTTACCCTGCTACTATTAAAATTAATGTCATCGGTGTTCACGTCCGTCTCTGGTCGTCGGACGTTTCGTCGTTGCACGTTGAAAAATTCTTTCAGCTTTCAGCACATTTACTCGTACCGAGAGCAGGTAATGGCACGTAATCGCCATTCGCGTTTAGATAAAAACTCTGCGTCGACGTCCATCGTCCCAGAGGCCGAATATAAGTATCAGTAAAAACTGGTGACACGGCGATAATGCGAATTTTTTGACCTACACGTTAAAATCCACCCCAAAAGTGAGATAAGAGGGCAACTTTTTCGTATATTACTAGTACTATATACGCATTGTTCGTTTTAATTCGCGTATAACCCCAACCACGTAAATCCGCAAACGTTAACTGTTGTTATTTGGTGCTGTTTTATTTTTTTCGTTGACACAGAGGTATTATAGAAAGACGAATTAAATCTGATTAGGGATTGAAATAAAAATCGCCTTTGTTTAAATAAATTTAGTTTTCTTTAAGCAAAATGTAATTATTAATCATACAACTAAAACTTTTTTTTGTACAAATAACACAAAAACTTATTTTGATAAAAATGTTTTAAAAGTTAAATGAAAAATGAGTACCAAACTTGTAATTTCACCGAAAAATACAAACGTCACCGAAAAGAATTATTACAGCAATTACGTGGTAATTAATCAAAACGACAATTATAAGTGCTGTGCTCGTATACTTTATCCCGAAACGTCTCTTCGTCCTCTAAAACTCCCCAAAAACACCCTTCTTTTGCTTTTCTAATTTCTTTTTGTTTTTTTGGTGCGGTCTGTGTCGACGATTTTTTTCACCCTTGGTAACATCCTTGCCCTGCAACCCTCGAAAAATTACGGGGTAATTATGCGAAATTCGCGAATTAAAACGGAGTTAGGCGACCGTCCAACTCGGATGTTAATTTATCGTAAAACTTCGCGCAGGGTTTTTTCTGAATGTATTTTTTTCAGAGTCGTTACCTTTTTGTAACCCACGGACACGTTCGCGTTAATTTTGTCTTAATGATGGTTTATTATACCTCGAAAGTTAGAAGCTGTTTAAAAACTCTACCTTTTCTCGATTTCTTGATGAAATTAAATTTTAATCCTTTCAAAGCGTGTTCTCTACATAAAAAAAAATAAAACCAGTTAAGTTCAAATTTATCTTATTATTCGCGGCTTAAAAAAAAACTTTTGCACAACCGGTCCATCCTGTTTTGCAATTCTCACCCTAAATATTGCGGATAGGGTGTACTCCTCCCTTTTGTGTCTTGCGTTATCCGCGAGTTTTCTACTCAGCTTTATTATAAAGGGTCGCGACCCGCGAAGAAAGACCGTTTTAACGAACTTTAACTGACCCACAATGTGCATCGTTACAAAATAGGGTGAATCGCTTCAACTCAGTTCTCACGTAAAAACTTTGAAATCAATGTTTACAGAAAATCTATGACAGAATGGTACATTAATTTGTACCGGTAACTATTTTGAACAAATAAAAGATATGCATCTAGTAATCCGTTATATGGATATTTGGACGCAAACAATGAATTAATTGAA